CCCGATGCGGGACTCGATCCCGGGACTCCGGGATCATGACCTGAGCCGAAGGCAGTCGCTTAACCAACTGAGCCACCCAGGCGCCCATAGATGGAACTAATTTTTAACTGAGCCCCAGGAACTGCTACTTTTAGAGGTATCACCTCACGTAATCCTCCTAACACTATGACTCAGTATTATTTTCATTTGTAGATGAAGAAAAAGGTTCAAAGAAGTGCCTCACCCAGATTATAACAGTGACCCAAACCTGACCCCAGAATCACCTAGCATGTGCCTTCTATCTTGACTCTGAAACCCGGAATCAACAAGCTATCAGCATATAAAGCTCAGACAACACCAAAAGTAAAGCTAGGTAGTTTAAGGCTGAGCAAGAAACTAGCTCCACTTCAGAGAGCATTTGTTAAACTAAAATTATGAAAAGATGGCTTTTTAAAAATATCAACACATTTTGTAATGTTTTATCCATCCTAATATCAAGTACTTTATTCATTCATTTAATAAAATAATTATTTTCTGTGAAAATAATTATTTTGTGCCATTTTTCTAGGCACTTGGGTTTAAAGAGCTGTCTTGTACTATGGTGCTTACATTAGGTGCAAAGCCAAGTGTGAACGCAGAGAAGGCTGTCAAGGAAAGACACGAGTGTAGATCCTGAATGATGTAAAGGAGCTGGCCTAGCAAAGGGCAATTCAGATAGAGGACACTTGAGGCAGGAACTTGCTTGCCAGTAATTATGACTTTTTAGAAGTTTAAGCAAGTCTTCTAGGGTGGTGAAAAGTAACAGGAGCTCATAGTTAAAAATGCAGTCATTCATGCAGAACATATTTACACAGTATCACTTGTTCTATGTACACACAATCTCCCACAAACACATCCTACACCGATGGGATATTAAACACACTGATCTGCAACTTGCTTTCATTTAAGGAAGAGAAGGTGGCTCAGAAGAAGACCAGGCTCCTGAGGCTTCAGGGCGAGAAGAGGAGGTTTCGGTGATTCTAGAAACCAAAGTTGGCCAAGTTTACGTGTTTCTAATTAGAGAGTTCTGTGTTTCGACTTATTTAGAGAATAAGCACTAAATTTCCTTGTGCATATCTTGAATATGAGGGTACTTCTGAAGGGAAAATTCCTAGAAGTGAATTACCTGGTTCAAAGGCAATTTACATTTAAAATTGATAAACTTCATGAAACTCTCAAAAAATTCCAATACTATGACATACCAACCAAAAGTGTATATACCAGGGACAATTCCCCAACTCCCTCATCAATAATGAGCATTATTAAACTTCTATCTTTGCTACTTCTCGGCTAAGAACTGGAGTCTCAGCATTGTTTGAAGGTGCTTTTCTTTAATGAGAAAGAGTGAACATTTTCCCTTGTTGATTAGCCATGTGTATTTCTTCTGTAGGATGTGCCTTGTCCATTTAATTACTTGTAAATAGTCTGCATAAAAGAAGTCAACCCTTTACTGAAAATATTTTCCTAGTTTATCATGTCTCTTGACTTTACGGTATGTATGTGTACATATATATGTGCTTTTTTTCACACACAACTGGTTTAAGGTGTTTTCCTTATGATTGTTATAAATTATGCTTTCCCACTCCATTACTTTTTAAAGCAGTCAATATTTTTTTCCTATGATTTTGAGGATTTCATTCTTTTTACAATTTGTAGTTTTTGGTGGGGGGCAGAGGGAACAAGAACCTTAAGCAGGCTCCATGCCCAGGGTGGCAGAGCTCCACTCGGGGCCCCATCTCACAACCCTGGGATCATGACCTGAGCCAAAACCAAGAGTCAGACACTTAACCAACTGAGCCACCCACATGCCCCTTTACATTTGTATTTTACTCTATCTGGTAAAAAGATAGGGATTCAGCCTGTTTTTCACCCCAAATGGACAGTTGTCTCTCCAACCCTTTTCCTCACTGCTATGTAATGTTCCATCTACCATTTACTAAATTTTGTGTTTATGAATCCATTCTGGACTTTGTTTATTTTTTTATTTCTTTTTGGCAATCTCTATGGGGCTCGAACTCATGACCCCAAGATCAAGAGTTGCACACTCTTCCAACTGAGCCAGCCAGGTGCCTCTGGACTCTATTCTATTCTCTACCGGTTCCATCTGGTATGCTCTTCTCAGCATGGGAACTCAACAACTGCTAAAAGAGATTCTGTAACATACACAGTGAGTTTATCCAAGTGAATCACAAAGTCTTTTCTCATTAAATTATGTCCCATCCTTTACCAAAGGTTATCAGCTACCACCAAAAGCATGCAATGTGTTCTGTGCTAATAGTAATTACCGGGTCAAAACGTATTCCTTCCACGTTACTGTTCCACAAAATACAGTACAGATTAGAGACACTTATTTATATTGAGTCTCCTCCTTTAGTAATTTTAAAAACAGAGGCGCCTGGGTGGCTCAGTTGTTGAGCTTCTGCCTTCAGCTCAGGTCACAATCCTGCTTCTCCCTCTCCCATTCCCCCTGCTTGTGTTCCTTCTCTCGCTGTGTCTCTCTCTGTCAAATGAATAAATAAAATCTTTAAAAAAATAGTAATTTAAAAATATTAACTTAAAAAACTTAACATTTCTAATTTTGATAACTTGTATTGAAGATGTTATTACTGACATTGTTTTCTATCACCTGTATCATTAGTTTATCATTTGCATTTTGGGCGCGTGGTCTAAATTTAAAAAGGTGACAGGACAGTTGAAACAAACAAGTGCTTTTCAGAAAGTATTAGCCCCTTCTGAATTACCCTCCAACTATCCTGGCTTTTAGAAAATTGTTTTTAGGGCGCCTGGGTGGCTCAGTTGGTTAAGCGACTGCCTTCGGCTCAGGTCATGATCCTCGAGTCCCGGGATCGAGTCCCACATCGGGCTCCCTGCTCGGCGGGGAGTCTGCTTCTCCCTCTGACCCTCTTCCCTCTCGTGCTATCTCTCATTCTCTCTCTCTCTCAAATAAATAAATAAAATCTTTAAAAAAAAAAAAGAAAACTGTTTTTAGGGCTATATGGGCTAAAAAAATATAAACACTTAGTACTGAAGAAAAATCTCTGAAAAGAATCTTCAACTCACAAACATAATGAAGAAAACATGTAGAAAGAATGTGTAGGTTAACGATCCACCTCAGACCCAATGTCTCATAAAACTAGAAGAATGTTAAAAGAAAAAGCAGTGGTATCTCAATATCCCCATCTGGCCGTAAGTGGCCATGATGAACAGTCAAGGGATGTTCACATTAAATAAGGGGGACATTACATATTAAACCACATCATTATATTATAATGAGCCCTATATCAAATATATTACAACACAGAGGTTAAGACCTCAGGCTTGCTGGATTTGAGTGAGTCCTGGTTCCACTATATGGCTTTGTTAAGTTGCTGAACCTTTCTATGCTTCAGTTTCCTGGACTCTACAACGGATGTTAATATTGTGTTAGCATACTTGGAACAGTATCTCATGGTGAGCCCTCAGTGTCAGCTATGATTATTATATTAGAAACTTACAAGGGTAGCCCCTAACCCTACTCATGACAGGAAGAGAGGCTCTATACTTTCACGATTTGAGTTTCTTAAGCTTAAACAAACTGTTAACTCAGAGATTTTTCCCATCTTCTCAAGAAACCGGTGTACAGGGGCACCTGAGTGGCTCAGTCAATTAAGTGTCTGCCAGGGTCCTGGGATCGAGCCCCATGCTGGGCTCTCTGCTCAGCGGGAGCCTGCTTCTCCCTCGCCCTGCCGCTCCCCCTGTTTATACTCTCTCTCTGTCAAATAAATAAATACAATCTTTAAAAAAAAGAAACTGGTGTACAGTACGAGAAAGTATCTTACTTAGTGACCTCTCTCCTCTCTATGCCTAATTTATAGCCTCATCAACAAAACAACTTTCTTCATTTCCTGTATGTTAACTCATCAGCTTTTTACCAATAACTCATAAAATAGAGGTTATCAATAAGGCCATTAAGTGTGTAATACAGGGATCAGATTATGAACCCTAAGGGTAAAGCATTTTCTTCTATTCCCACAGAAATTACTGAGCACACTATTCTATCATCAGGAAGGTTTTTAAAAAATGCTTCCGCAAACTTACTTACCAAATAAAAAATCAACATCTCTATTTTTTTTTTTTTAAGATTTTATTTATTTATTTGACAGAGAGAGACACAGCAAGAGAGGGTACACAAGCAGGGGGAGTGGGAGAGGGAGAAGCAGGCTCCCCCCCGAGCAGTGAGTCCAATGAGGGGCTCGATCCCAGGACCCCGGGATCATGACCTGAGCCGAAAGCAGAAACTTAACCGAGTGAGCCACCCAGGTGCCCCCAAAATTGACATCTCTAACACAGTGCAACAAGTGGAAACCTGGTCTCCTCTTCAGCCACACCCTCTATCCCAACTCCTACTCAAGTGTTGTGGTTCCTTCCGATAGGCAAAGCTCTACCACTGTTTCTCCTTATTTCTACTTTCCATTGGCTGTATCTCTGTTTCTTGCCTCTCTGGAAATTCTACACTAACCCTACATTTTACAGCTGCTCCTGTAAATTACTCTATCTTTGATGAATACCACTTAGCCTAATTCCTGCTGCTTTTGCCTCCATGGCCTCCAGCCACCTCAGCTTCTCAGGTTGGACTGACTCCCTTTTGTCCTTAATTGCTGTCTGTTAAATCATCACCTGTCCCACCCTTCATCTAGTGCCACTCAAATCAGTTCCTCAACCATCCTGTTCCCTCTCAGTCTGTGTTAAACCCCATGGCTCCTCAGATGTTCCCTCTATCTCCCACCTGCCCCTCCCTATTTCCTCTTCCTATCACCAACTCTTCCGGCCAGTCTGCCCAAACCTGCCTACTCCCAAGCCTCAGTATCATTCCCTAGTAACTTCTTACTTAAAAAAAAAAAAGAAAAGAAAAAGAACTGTACAAAAATCACTTCTCAAACCCTACCATATATATGCATATCTAGTACACATTCATGCACCATTATGTATGAGCGTATATGCTTTTATAGATTTTCCTTAAGCACTTTTCAAAAATGTTTGTATCTTAAATATATTCTCCTAAACATTAAAAGGCGAACAAAAACATATGCAAAGTAAAACTGGTAGAATAACACTATAAATCCAGGACAAGTACATTTAGAGCAGGTAAGAAATAAAGACCAACAGGCTTTTCTCTGGTAGACTTACCAGCTTATCTTCCTAGAAGTCTTAAAAAGTATGTCTTCAAAGGGCAGGCAAGTCTACATGGCTTCTGAGTTAACTACAGAAAATAGCCTGTAGTACATGAAGAACAAAGATGAGAGCTGACCTGGAAAAAAAAAAAGAAAGAAAGGAAGTGTAATCAAAACTACATTTCTGTGATAATCTGTGGCCCTGTAAAAGAATTCTGCCTATTTCTCTTGCTGTCCTGCTCCCTGCAACAGTGACAGGGGTCCAATCCACTTGCTCTAATGTAATAATACCAAAGATGACCATGGATACTACCCATGACACCACCCACATCTAATTCTACTTTAAAATCCACTATGGAATTAACGCCCTTGTCTACAACCACAGCACTCTTGAACCCACCATCTCACTTGAGCTGACAGGACAGCACTCAGCAGACCGCTGCTGTGACCACAGACTACAGGAGCAGCTCATGTTTTGTCCCTTATCCACACTACACCGCAGAGCAGCAAAGTACCAGGCAGTGAAGAAGGGACAAGATAATCAACAGGACAAAGGGGCAAAGAAGGAAGAGGCTTCGGGGGACAAGGAAGGACAGTGGTGCTTCAGTGACTGCTCGGGCCTCTTCTCAAGTGGATTTCTCTTCTTTTTTTTTTTTTTTTTAAGATTTTATTTATTCATTTGACAGAGAGAGGGAACACAAGCCAGGGGAGTGGGAGAGGGAGAAGCAGGCTCCCCATGGAGCAGGGACCCTGATGCGGGACTCGATCCCAGGACCCCAGGATCATGACCCGAGCTGAAGGCAGACGCCCAACAACTGAGCCACCCAGGCGCCCCTCAGGTGGATTTCAAAGAGAGTATCAGGGTCTGGGTAAGTTGTTGACTTGAATAGAAAGGAAGAAAACTGGTCACGGGGTGCCCGGGTGGCTCAGTTGGTTAAGCGACTGCCTTCGGCTCAGGTCATGATCCTTGAGTCCCGGGATCGAGTCCCGCATCGGGCTCCCTGCTCAGCAGGGAGTCTGCTTCTCCCTCTGACCCCCCCCCCTCTTGTGCTCTCTTTCTCATTCTCTCTCTCAAATAAAATAAATAAAATCTTTAAAAAAAAAAGAAAGAAAACTGGTCACGAACAAGCTAGGTAATAGCTCACAACACATTTCTGCTGTTAAGTTCCGGCACATTTCTCTCCCCGTGGTCAATTGCTGAATTTCTGAGAGCTGTGCTCTCCCTGCCTGCAGTCTCACTTCCCTGCAATCCACTCACCATACAGTTTCCAGTCATGTTCCAAACACAAAAACCTAATGGCATTTGCCTGCTCACAATTCCTCAAAGTATCCCCAACACCTGCAGCACACAAAACCACGGCATATAAAGCTCTTCACCATCTATCTGGCCCCTGACTGGACCACATTCTCTAAATACTGACCCACTGTAATTCCACTACAAACTAAGCCTCTGGACCTTCACACAAGCATTTACTCTTCTTTACATTCCCCATCTTGCTACTCAGCCATCAGGCAAGTTTCTCCATCCTTCAGGCAGATACTTCTTAAATAATGGCCGCCTCGGCCCCAATCCTCTTTGTGTGCACACCTCCAGTGTAGCCATCACTCTTTGGTACTACCAGAGTCTGGCTCTCAGAGGGCAGGGACTACCCATTCACCCCTGTAACCCTTGCACATCCCTGGCACATGGTATATGCTCAGAAAGTATCTGTTCATTACCTCTAAAACATCCCATCATGAAGACTGGAGACCTAATCTTAGATTCACAGGATTTTAAAACTAGAAGTGACCTGAGCTACCCTCTAGTTTTCAAATCACTGGGATTTAGAGCAGAAAGACCTCAGGGATCATCTACTTTAAAACTTCAATTTATAGCTGAGGAAATTCAAACCTAGACATTAAGTAATTTGCTCAAGATGAAGCAAATAATCAGCATCTGACAAAGGACCAGATTAAAGTTCTGCCATTTATCCAGGTTCTTTCTAATATATCTTGACTAAACTAATGCACTGGAATCTATAAGATCTTGACAAGCCAGTATAATGGGCAAAATCCATAAGATGAATCCACAGAGAACTGCATTCCACAGTCTGAGCTGGAGAGAATGTCCCAATGGATCACTGTCTTCAGCTCTGGGCAGAAGGACACTTTGATTTCATAACACTAGGCAACATGCAGAAGAAAGCGAGCAACCACACGATGGCAGGCAGTCTTTAAAAACATGTCTTTTGTGAGTACAGAAACTGACCAACTTCAAAAGTGGAGGAATTATGGATAATATGTAATGTGTCCTAGAAGCAACAAGTGGAAGCTAGCAGGGAAACAGATTCCAGCTCAAGATAAAGTTTTACAAACTACTCAGTCACAGACTAGAATGAGTTGCTTTGCCAGGTAGGAGCCCTCCATAATGATAAACCGATGGCCAGTATAGGAAAGGATCCTCAGAGGACTTGAGTCCAAACTCTCCACTTTACAACTGAGAAAACTGATGCTGATGGAGAAAAGTACTTGAGATCACAACAGTTAGGTCAGCGGAAGCAACAGAAGATCCTGATTTCCTGATTCTGGATCTCTGTTGAAATACCATGAGGTCTTTCCCATGGGCACGCTGCAACAATGAGTCAGTCCAGAGTTCAGCTCCTGGGCAGAAGCTAGGCACTGAGATTCCTCCCAGTGGGAGGATTTTTTTAAGATTCTAGCATTCCCCCACCCACCTAAATTTCAGAGCTCCTAAGACTAACTATAAAAGTAACTACACTGTCCAGACTAACAAAAGTTTCTCCGATCCTACTTTCTGCCTCTACAGACTACATGCTGTCCCTAAAAAAAGTTCCAAGTGGTTTGCCAGTCCACCACCACATCACATCACACCTATCTCCTATTCAACAGCTTCCTTAAAGTCTAACACCTGGTTGTCTTTAAAAACTTTCTGATGCATAGCTTTTAAAAACAAAACTCAAGGGGCGCCTGGGTGGCTCAGTCGTTAAGCGTCTGTCTTAGGCTCAGGTCGTGATCCCAGGGTCCTGGGATCGGCCCCGCATCGCATCCGCATCGCATCGGGCTCCCTGCTCAGCAGGAAACCTGCTTCTCCCTCTCCCACTCCCCCTGCTTGTGTTCCCTCTCTTGCTGTGTCTCTCTGCGTCAAATAAAATCTTTAAGGAAAAAAAAAAAAACTCAATACGGACAGCATTTTTAAAGCTAATTGGGTTCTGTTAGTGTATACCCACTAGCATTGCTTTTCACCCCTAAAAATTAATTAAAAATTAGTAAACTTTATTTTTTAGTTTTAGGTTAAAGAAAAAACTGAAAGTTCTCTACCTTTATTTACCTTCTTTCTTCCTCTGCACACAATTTCTCCTATTATTAACATCCTGTATTAGTACATTTGTTAAAACTGAGGAATACTGATATATTATTATTTACTAAAGTGCAGAGTTCAGTTAGGGGTCACTCTACCTGTTATACAAGTCTATGGGTTTCCACAAATGCAGTGTCACATACCCAGCATTACACAATGGAAGAGAATAATTTCACAGCCAGAAAAATTCCCTGTGCTCCTCATAAACACTGGTCTTTTTACTGTCTCTGTGGTTTTGCCTTTTCCCAGACTTTTTTTTTAAGATTTTACATATTTATTTGAGAGAGAGCGAGAAAAGGAGAGTGACAAGGAGACTCCATACTGAGCACAGAGCCCGATGTGGGGCTTGATCCCACCACCCCAAGATCATGACCTGAGTCAAAACCACCAGTCGGAGGTTCAACCAACTGAGCCACTCAGGCGCCGCCCCAATACATTTTTAAAATTATGGTAAAATACAACGAAGTTTACCATTCTAACAATTTTCAAAAGCACAATTTAGTGGCATTAAGTATATCACAATGCTGTACAACCATACCCATTATCCATTTCCAGAACTTTCCATCACCACAAACAGAAACTGTACCCATTAAACAAGAACTCCCCATTCCCCCACTTTCACTGGCCCTGGTAATCTCTACTCCATTTTCTATCCCAGTGAGTGGGATCACACGTTTGTCCTTCTGTGTCTGGCTTATTTCACTTCCCACGTCTATACCACAGCATGTATTAGAATTGTATTCCTTTTTAAGGATGAATCCCATTCCACTGTGCATACCACAATTTACTTTCCGTCCATCTGTTGATAGATATTTGGAGTACTTCCTCTCTTGGCTATTCTGAACAAAGCTGGTTACACTGCCGTACAATGATCTGAGTCCCTGCTTTCAACTCTTCGGAGTCGAAACCCAGGAGCGGAATTGCTGGGTCCTACGTAACTCTGTGCTAAAATCGGAGGAACCACGACACCCTTTTCTACAGTCGCTGTGGCTGCAGCACTCTTCGTGGCCGCCAGCCACGCGCGGCAGTGCCACCTGTCCCACGCCCTCCCCAACATCTGTGATTTGTCTCTGCTCACAGCCATCCCAGTGGGTGTGAAGTGGGACCTCACTCTGGTTTTATCTCCTTAACTCTGATGGCTGATGCGCACCCTGCGATGTGCTCACGGGCCATCGGGGTGCCTTCTGTGGAGAAGACCCACTAAGTCCCTTGCCCGTTTGTAAGCCGGTTGCTTCTGTCGCTGAGTGGCAGGGGCTCCTCACATAACCTGCACACCAACCCCTGGCCGACTCCGGGATTTCGTGTCTCCCACTCTGGGCTGCCCAGCTCGTTTTTAAGCAGCAACAATGACAAAAGCCCACGCCGACGAGGGACAGTGAGGACCCTGTCCCGGACTGAAGCGGAACGAGCGCCTCCCGCGCGGAGCCAGATCCCGACCTCCCCGTGGTGTCCCGCACGGTGCTTCCCGCCTCCCGCAGACGATGCGGGGCTCGCCCCCCGCCCCGAGGCCCACCCCGCCGGCAGACCCGGCGCAGGCCGCTCTTCGGTGCACGCCCCGGGCGGGCCTCCTCGGACCCCGGCCTGCGGGGCGTCGCGGCCCGCGCGACACCCCTGCCCGCCCGTCCCGCTCCTCACCGATGATGGGCCGAGGCGGCGTCCACACACGCGAAAGACGGCGGGAGCCGCGCTCGCGGTCCCCGGCTGCTCCGCGAGGCCCTGCGGCGCGGCAGCCTCCCGAATGGCGGCGCGGCGCAGGCGCGGGCTACGGGCGCGCGAGCG